TAAAATTACAATTAAATTAATAACCTTAACAATTTAAATTATAAAAATAACTAACCAAATTCAAGTAGGTGAATTGATATTAATTCTCATCTTTTATTTTATTTTATTATAATATATTAAAGAAAAGTGTTCTTCCAACTGTAAAAGGTAAGAAAAAAAAAACACTTATAAAATTATTTAAATAAATATTTATAGGTTAAATCTTTTTTTTGATCTTTCAATTATTGTACAGACTCCGATTAAATCTTTCAACTAAAAAAATCTTTAATTTGGTTCTTACTGTTTATCGTTTTGACCCCAACTTGGTTCTTCCATTAAAAATCTACCCACGTGTCCCGTTAATTAACAGAAGCATAATGATGCATCAAAATATTATGTCCACATGGAAAGACAGCATGGCAAAAATAATGATTTGGCAATAAAAATTAAAAAATTCTCTTTTTCCTTCCTCTTCCTTTCTTTCTTCATCAATCAATTCTTCATCTTCATCATCAAACAACAAAACCCATAAAAACACAATTTTTATTTTTATTTTTTATTGAAAAACTTAGATTTGGGTTCCTTTGAACTCAACACTGGGTTCCAAAGGACCTAGAACCTGGGTTCGCTTTGAATCCAAGACCCCAAGGGAAAAGAGAAAGGACAAGAGAAAGAAAAAAGAAAAAAAAAAGAATTTTTAAGTTTTTTGTCATATTATTATTTTTTTCATGTCACTTTTCTTTTTTTTTTTTGCCATGTTATCTTTCATGTGTATTAATATTTTGAAATGTCATCATTTGCCATGAATTAACAGTACATGTCATAAAATTTTTAACGAAAGGATTAAATTGGGGTTAAAATAATAAACAATAAGGATCAAATTAGAGATCTTTTAAATTGAGGGACTCAATCAAAGATCTTTATAATAGTTGAGGGACGTAAAAATGGGTTTAACCATATTTATATAAATATTAATTTATTAAAAATATATAATTAATATAATAGGTTTTTTCATATTCTTTTCTTAAAAGTTGACTTGACTACTTAAAGAGCTTTAGAGATGTGACATGTTTTGCTACAATACATTTACTTTTTTAAAAGACAGAAATATCATCTTTTGATATTAACGTATTTGAAAATAATGTTAATTTTTAATTAACTTGTGTTATCCTAAAAAATGTTTTTGACCCGTGACAGATAAAATGGTGTATCACTTGTTTTGTTCAAAATAAGAAAGATTTTTCCGACGATCCTCTCTTCTTTCTAAACGTGAAACTCAACTTATGAGTTGATGGAAGAACGTCGTAAATTGCACCTTAAATATCAGACGATTGGCAGAAACGAGGGATAAACTTCCTGCACTAAATGGGTTATACAACAAAATGCCTTGGATATGATTCCAAGGACTCTTCAAAGTTAATGTAATCAAGAAAAGTTAAGACTGCAAGGTAAATAAATTATCGCTAAACTACTGAAAATCTAAATGAACTTTAAATACGCAAACTGAATTGAAACATAGCTTTAAAAAGAAATTTAATTGCAATAAAAGTAAATTAAGTTAAAGTAAATAAAACCCGAAGCATGAAAAATCTACTGGCAGCATGAAATGTAAATTAATAGAAATGGAACTGAACATGAAATTAAATGTCGACATCATTTGATTAAATTAAAGGAGATCTGGAAAACAAATAAAAAGGAAAGGAAGCAATCCGATTACAAAAAAATATTACTGAAGGCAGTGAAACTCACCACTACAAATTCGACAAAAGAAGAACCGAATTGCTAAACTAATCTAGGTTGAAGTGTAGAGCTAAAACGAAACTAAAGAGCTTGAAACTAAGATGAATCTGAGCATAAAAAGAAATTGTGTTGAGTTTGTTGTGTGAGATGTTGATCGTTTGCTTGATCTTATCATTTGGTATTTATAGTGCCTTGGCAGCATGGTGGAGATCTGCGGCAACATCCTGAAAAACCAACGACAGCGTAATATCTGCAACAAATTGATTAATTTGTTGGTGCTGCGATTATCCTCCTGAAAGCTCGCAACAAAAGAACGATTTTTCTGCCATTGTAGAAATAACCACTCAATCTCATCTGAAGAAATTCACACCAACTTTCAACTAATAAAATATCTACCATCATGAGTGACACGTGACAGCACTTCATTTGTTGTAAAATTAGGTGTAAACATCTTACAGTCTTGTTCAAGAAAAATTTTAAATCGAATTGGATTTTCAAGTTTAAGTTGTTGTTCTCAAACTTTAAAATGTTTAAGTTCATTAATTGAGGTTTTAAATTTTATTAATATTTTAAAAATATCTTTTATTCTCCAAAATTATAAATTGTTTAAAAAAATTTTAAATCATTGATAAAAAAATGAGATATTTATCAGAATAGGAAACAGCACATTAGTACATGGAAAATTCAATTCCCATTTAAGTCAGCATTGGAATACATCAAATATCCAGGTGGGCAAACATCAAAATAACCCAGGGGTGCAGGGAGATCGCGACCCATGTCAGCTAGGCAGTTGGGGCATTGGTTAGCTTCCTGAATGACGCGATGGATTCGAGCTTCAGGAATTTCCCCTAAAATTCCCTTACGATCCAAAATCGATGTCAGCAAAAGATGGTAACTGGTAAGGCTCAGGTTCCTTCGAAAGGAGTTAACAAGCTACAAGGCAATCAATTTCAACAATAAGATTTTGAATATTAAGCGTACGTTTTACTTTGTCGGAGTTTTTAATAAAAATTTTGTTAAAAAAAATTATTATAAAAATGTTATTTTTTTATATAAAAAAATAAAAATAAAATCAAAATAATATATTAGTTTTATTAAAACTCTAATGAAAAATTCTTACAAAAGTACTAATTCAATACTTTTAGGTTAAATGCTCATTTTGGTCCCTCAACTTTAGTGGTTTGCACATTTTTGGTCCCTTGAGAATTTTTTGCACTTTTTTGATCCCTCAACTATACGAAATGCACTCCGTTAGTCCTTCTGTTAAATTGAACCGTTAACTCTGCTTCCGTGGCATTTTTAATATTTTTTTTGATGATGTGGAGGGCAAAATTTAAAAAAGTGATGACGTGCACAACAACTTTTGCCCTGTCATGCTACCGTGGTAAAAAAAGTCAAATCCGTTCAAGTGAGTCCCACATATCACCACTAAGAATTGCTTCTGTCCATTGATTACTGTTTCTGTTCTTTCCATCGAGAAGAATTGCTTCTATCCATTGATTACTGTTTCGTTCTTTCCATCGACGATATTCTTTCCATTTTTAAGATTGAAATCATTTAAACAATACTTCGAAAATAAGAAGAAAAAAATCCCAAAAATCACTCACAACAACCTGTAATTTGGATAATCTCTTTATAAGCAAACATATAACAAAAAAAAAGTTGAGCTG